TATAGATGCAATCAAACCTACCATTCCACAGTTTTCACAAAGGATAAAATATAAGCCCTTAGGAAAAATGACAAATTTATATTGTGGATATTAAAATAGTGATATAAAGTTTATTTCAATACCAGGTTGTTATGGGAAGAAAGTAAAAAGTATAGAACTCAAGAAGATAGGAGATAAACAACTAATTACTTTACAGTTACAATTTATGCTAGCCTGAAAAATTCCCCACTCAAAATTCTAAGCACAGTGAGCAATCAAAATGCTCACCTGACCAACTGCTTGGCTGAAAGTCAGCGGTGGTGTATCTAGTTTACCAAAGACCTGCAGAGGCATATGCAGGTGTCTCCTAACCCTGCTAAAATGATGAGGTACCTGTTAGCCAACTGGGCACACCTGAGAAGAAACTGCTCCGCCTCCTGTTCCTGCACTTCCCCCCTTCCCAATGCATTATCTTTTTATTTTTTTTTTTATTTATTATTTTTTTTTTTGGACAGGCAGAGTAGACAGTGAGAGAAAGACAGAGAGAAAGGTCTTTCTTTTCCATTGGTTCACCCTCCAATGGCCGCCGCGGCAGGAGCACTGTGCTGATCTGAAGCCAGGAGCCAGGTGCTTCCCCTGGTCTCCCATGCGAGTGCAGGGCCCAAGTACTTGGGCCATTACTTGGGCCATCCTCCACTGCACTCCCGGGCCACAGCAGAGGGCTGGACTGGAAGAGGAGCAACCGGGACAGAATCTGGCACCCTGACTGGGACTAGAACCCGGTGTGCCGGCGCCGCAGGTGGAGGATTAGCCTAGTGAGCCGGGGCGCTGGCCCCAGTGCATTATCTTTAAGTCATGAACTACTTATCTAGCATTAAATAGATTTGAAATCTGGAAAACGCGCCCAACTCATTTCATATTCAGCAGGACATCCACCCTGTTCTATCCATGTGTTCCTTTGTCTTTTCAGCTTTCCATCTCTAGGTGGGCCTGCCTGTAGCCCTCCCCTAGTTCTTTACTAAGAAAGTTTAATCAGTTTGGATTTACGCAGGTAGGCCTTACCTTAGGGGTTTTGCAGTTTTCAGCTGACTCTCCTGATCCTCTTTCTTTCTGTTCAATACCCCCCAGGTAATGAATAGCTCTCCCAGTCCTCTTCTACACTGTTCACTTTGTGTCCGCTCTCCGTTCTGTGCATTGGAAAAATCCCCCTAGATTTGCTTAATTCTTGGGGTCGGGGGAGTGGTACAGCAGGTTAAGCCACCACCAGCAACGCTGCCATCCTATATGAGTACTGGTTAGAGTCCCAGCTGCTCCACTTCCAATTCAGCTCTCTGTTAATAAGCCTGGAAAAGCAGAGGAAAACCAAACTGCTTGGATCCCTGCCATCCGTGTGGGAGACCCAGATGGATTTCCAGACTTCTGGCTTCCTGCAGGCACAGCAGCAGCCACTGGGGAGTGAACAAGCAGATGGAAGTACTCTCCGTCTCTCTCTAACTCCACCTTTCAAATAAGTCAATGCATCTTTGTAAAAAGTGCTCAATTATTTTCTTAAGGAAACAATATCAAAAGTACAATGATCATATTTCTAAACCTAAATATTGGAGCATGTGTTCTAATCAGTAGCCATTTCTTTTGTCAGTATGTACACAACAGAACTTTGTAGACGAATAGGTGAACACTATTCTTTCTACTACACATGCTCTTATGAATCTAAGTCCTGTCCATTCTGTAGGAAAAAGCACATCTTGGGGGTGGGGAGGGAGGGGCGAGGAGCAGAAGGATATGACTTTGGATAGGAGGGTATTGGGAGACAAAATTTAGGACAGAAAGAGGAAATATAACAGGTGGTAGAGCTAAATGGAAGAAATCTGATAAAAAGGGAGCTTTGGGTATACTTTCTGATATGCTAAAGTTGGACTGGTTTGGGGGATAACCTCAATGTGGAATTGCCAAGGATTTTACTATGTGGCCTGGGTCTCTCATTGCTCCACTCTGAGTTTAAAATAATTTCAAATAAAATGAAATAAATAAAATTTTTAAAAATCCAACAACTCTCCTAAGCTCACAAGATCACAATAGTCACCAATTTTGGTATACTAATATGTCTAAAGAAACAAAAAAGATGTGTCCAGTATGGAGGTCTGGGTGCTCTCTAACCTTGGATGAAAGGTTTTGAATACTCTCACTACAAAGAAATGATAAATATACCATGTGATGGATGTACTAGTACCCTGCTTTGTTCATTACATAATAATGCATCAATCCAATAACATTGTACTCCACAAATTTGTACAATTATTAAGTGTCAACTTAAAAAAAAAATAAAGCCCAGAGACCACAGCTGGTTATACCATTCTACCTATGATCCAGCGAAGGGAGCTTTAATGTCTGTTTCCCCATAAGAAGGCTGGGCTTAGTGCACAGATGAACACAGGCACTGTAGCTAATAGGCTTTGAGTATTTTCAAGAAACTATGAGACAGTGATTAAGAGTTCAGATCCCTCATGCCTATTTTCAAATCCTGACTCTGCCATTTATGAATTTCTTAACTGGGACAAGTTATTAAGCCTGTACCTCTACTTCTTCATCTGTGAAATGGGAAAGAATATAATTGTAAGTACTCCCAAGAATTGCCTGGAGGATTGAGTTACAATATATGTAAAGCACTTAGAACAGAGGCTGTAATTACCCTCCATTGGCAAAGCTATGCCTGGCTAACATGCATGCCTCAGGCCTAATTATATTAAATATTTATCTCCCCTCATTCTGATACAACTCGCAATAAACAACATACTCCTCTCCACATAGGTTTTCTCACACAGAAAAAAAAATTGTGCTTTTCACAGAGATTCTAGAAATACCATCCTAAAGCCTGCAATTTCTTAATAATCTTTTTTTTAATTTTTTATTTATTTATTTTTTTGGACAGGCAGAGTGGACAGTGAGAGAGAGAGAGAGAGAGAGAGAGAGAGAAAGGTCTTCCTTTTCCATTGGTTCACCCCCCAATGGCCACCACGGCCAGCGCACCACACTGATCCACAGCCAGGAGCCAGTTGCTTCTCCTGGTCTCCCATGCGGGTGCAGGGCCCAAGGACTGGGGCCACAGCAGAGAGCTGGACAGGAAGAGGAGCGACCGGGACAGAATCTGGCACCCTGACCGGGACTAGAGCCCTGTGTGCCGGTGCTGCAGGCAGAGGATTAGCCTAGTGAGCTGCGGCACCAGCCGAGCTTGCAATTTCTTATAGTGAATTGATAAACTAGCTGTGGTTGTATCTTGGCCTCCCACATTGCTTGGCCACAGAAAAAAACACAGGCAGGTTGTTGATGTAGGGTTTCTGGTCCAAGGGCAGATCTGTTTTGATTTCTCAATCTTCACCCAGGTCTTCTGCTCTCTATCTCAACCTCAGTGTATCTGGGTTGGGATGCAGACACTCTATAGCCCCTGAAGAGTGAGGCTCCTGAGTCCTCAGCCTCTACAGCAGAGGGCCAGCCCCAGGTGGCTTTTTCTCAAAACAGTTATGCCAGCCATGCTAGCTCCCTGTCTGGTCCTGCACCTCACAAAAGGCTCAAAAGTCCCAGGAGCTGCCATCCCTGATGTGGGCACCTTTACATAAAAGCATAAAGTGCTTTTAGAAGTTGATGAGCTAAAAATAATACAAGGGCATGGGGGAGAGCGGTAAATGGAAGCATTAATCCAAGGGCTCTGCCCAATCTGCAAGAAAATGTTCAGGTGTTTTCAGTTCCTTCTGTGGCCCTCGCTGGGACTCCACTCTCTAGGAATTCTTCTGAGTTTTTAAGCATCCCTGATTAAAAGTGTGAGGGCTAAGAACTTTCAATGAAAGATACATCAGGTGTTCAGGAAGAGTTCTCTCCTTCTGACGCCTTGCTGTGTTGCCTTTACCTTCAGGAATTAAAAAATTTGTGAATATTTTTGTTTTTGGAGAGAGTGGAAAGAAGAGTGGGAAGGGAGTGTAGCTAAGGAGCACTTTGAATGGACCCTGAGACCACTGGTTCAGTGTGTGTGTTGGGGGAGGCAGTGGAAAACCTGAAAGGTTCAAGGGCAGGGGAACTCCGGAACATCCACCTATGGCATGGACTATGTTGGCATTTCCGGATTGGCCAGGAAAGGTATCCAAAAAACTAACACTGTTACCCTGAAAAAATGCAACACGAGATGCAAATAAGTAACAAGCAAAGGAACCCTGCAGATGCAAGATACTCCATCTGAGTTCTTGAATAGGAGAGCTCTTGTATGGTGTCTCAAGAAGGAGAAAGCAACATGAAGCATTCAGTGTGGGACTGTGGCTGGAGAGACAGGTCAGAAGCACAGAGCACGTAATGAATTCCAGCTGGAAGAACGTTTGTCCCTGGGGTCCAGGCAGGCTGTGACCTGTTGAAAACCCAGGCCAATGGAGAAACCGCTCCAGAGCCCGAGTAGAACAGATGTGTTGCATTGAAGAAGAGGGTTAGACACGTGGGTTACGCGCTTTATTCTAGGACCGCGGGGGCAGCTTTCCTTGTTGACCCTGGGATCGCCCAGGCCCTCGGTCTGCGCCTACCTAGCTTCCCGAGAGTCCCTTTGAAAGGAGGGACAGGTAAGCACTGAGTGAAGCGCTGGTTTGGGGAGACCAGGGACCAAGGAACAATTCTACCCGCCGGGTGCGAAAGGGAAAGGGATAGGGAGGATCTACTTGGATAAACCCAGGCAGGACGCCCACGGTAAAGGAAAGGGGGCTGCGGCGAGTGGAGAGACGTGAGACGCAGAAGGCGCTGGGGTGGCCATCCCCGGGTGCCCAGGTCTGGCGGGGTGTGCGGCGAGTGACCGCTGCGGCTGCTGGAACAGGTGAGCGGCGGCCGGGCGCGCGGTCCCCGCCCTTCCCGGAGCGTGCGGCGCCCTACGGACTCCAGCCAGCGCCTAGCTGTTCCGCGGCTCCCCTTGGCGAGGGGTTTTGCAACTAGCAGCTGGCTGCCTTTTTTTTTCCCTCCCCTGTCTAGGTCTCTCCTTCTTCTTTTAGGTTGCTCCACCCCGCCCAGGATCAGGCGAGGGGGAACAAGCCAGCCCCGCTGCGGCTGCCAACCCGCGCCCAGTGCGCCTGCGAACTCCCGGAGCGGAGTCCCGCGCGCCGCCGCGTCTGCACCGGGCGCGCTCTGCTCTCTGCCCCGGACCCCGCGTCCTGCTCCCCGCAACCCTTCCCCACTTTTCCCCCTTTTGCAATCACATGGCGTTTTAAGAATGCCGGAAAGATGGCGGTAGCGGCGGCGGCGGCGGCGGCGGCGGCTGGGCCGGCAGGCGGGGGAAGCGGCCGGGCGCAGCGGAGCGGGCTGCTGGAAGTTTTGGTGCGGGATCGCTGGCACAAAGTTCTGGTGAACTTGAGCGAAGACGCCCTGGTTCTGAGCTGCGAGGAGGGCGCTGCGGCGTACAACGGCATCGGGGCAGCCACCAATGGCTCGTTCTGCAGGGGTGCCGGGGCCGGGCACCCGGGCGCGGGCAGCGCGCAGCCCCCGGACTCGCCCGCCGGTGTCCGCACGGCCTTCACCGACCTCCCGGAGCAGGTGCCCGAGTCCATCTCTAACCAGAAGCGCGGCGTGAAGGTGCTGAAGCAGGAGTTGGGCGGTTTGGGCATTAGCATTAAGGGGGGCAAAGAGAACAAGATGCCCATCCTCATCAGCAAGATCTTCAAGGGGCTGGCGGCGGACCAGACCCAAGCTCTGTACGTGGGCGACGCCATCCTATCGGTGAACGGAGCCGACCTGCGGGATGCTACCCACGACGAGGCGGTGCAGGCTCTGAAGCGCGCAGGCAAGGAGGTGCTGCTGGAAGGTAAGGGGTTAACGCCGCGCTGGCCGCACGCACCTGCGGGTTTTCCCACCCGCACCCCAGGGACCCGGCCCTGTGCGTGCAGGTGAAGGCGGCGGCGGCTCTTGGGATTTTTGACAACTTTTACCCAGCTTGGGGCAACGTGCCCCTCCCAAGGGGGGTGCACGGAAAGACAGGCGAGCGGGGTTTCAGGGCCAAAAGGTATGCTTAGTGTGCGATGTTTCCTTTTCGTCTGCGGATAATCCAAGTGTAGTGGAAGGGGCTTTGAGGTGTTGGGAGCGTCGCGGAGCGGATCCGCTCGGTGGTAGCAATGCAGTTTTCTGTTCTGCACAGTTTCCCACTCCGAAGCCTGCGCTAGCCCGCTGACAGGACTGAATCATGGAGGAGCAGGAGAGAGCGAGCAATATTTCAATGCCAAAACTCCGGTCCATCCTTCTCTATTTCCCGCCTGCAGTTTGGAGAGCGGGCATTGTGCCCGGGGAGTTGTGCCAAGGGCTAGGAGATGTGTTGCAATTTTAGGCAAAAGTTCACTTCCCCTGCCGGGTGTTTGGCCGGTCAGTCTGGATTCCTGGCTCCTCTGGGTGCGGAGCTGGAGCTGGGTGAAGTGGTTTTTCTGCCTGCATTTTCTGGAGCTTTTTCAGAAAGGTGTGGAAACAAATTTGCCCTTTGGAAACAGTTTCCCCTGAGCGCAAGGACTTTTTAGAAACTATCTTCTGTGGTCTGATGCCTCTCATTCCTTCGTCACCGAGTGTGAATAGAAGAAATAGCGATTTGTACCGATTCTGGAGCATGTGGCATTATGCAGGAGAAGAGAGCAGTGAGATAGTACACTGAGCACATGTTCTTTGCTGTAGCTGCGTTTCTCATTTGCTACCTGCTTTTCCTCCCGCTCTGCGTGCCTCTGCCGGCACTGACGCCACAATGTAGTTTGTCCACTTATCCAAGGCCCCCTTTACCTTACAGAGTGAATCGTCCAGAGTCCCTCACTTAGTTAAAGGTCTGTCCTGAGCTTGGGTATCCGATGACACGCATACCTTGTGAGTGAAGAAAGGAACTTGGCTATGAAGCAATATTCAAACCAAGACTTGGTGAAATGGCATCGATTTAAGTTCTAAACTCGGGACGTAAGTCAGGGTGCTGGGTGTGTGAATCTGAGAAACTTCAGAGTTGGGAAACCAACTTTGCACTGTGTGTGACAATTCAAGCAACTCCCTAATGTGTGAAGTCCCACCTCTTGGCCTAGAAGACAGAGGGCTTCTTTTCTCCCCCTTATTTGTCTAGAGGATCTGTGATGTCTTTATATTTAATTACCACCCTGGATCCAGAAACTGGAAGTCTGTTTGCTTTGGCTTGATGATTAACATAAGTAAACAACAAAGTTTTTTTTTGATTCAACTGTGTGTTGCTTTGTGTGAGAGGGGACAGGTGGGATCTGCAGCAAGTGTAGCTTGTACTCTAAACTGTTGGGCAGTTCTTCAATTTGCAAATACTTACTGTGAATACTGGGGGAAGGTGCAAAAGCCAGGCTATTTTAATTTTAGAATATCTTGTATGTTGTCCCTTTTTCTTTCACTGCCAAGTCATTATTCATTAAATTGAAACCAAAGAGGTTAAAAACAAAACAAACTCCCATCCAAAAAGAGGAAGAAAATGTGACTCCCTGTGGTTGAAAATAAACCTAGAGAAGCAAAACACAAACAAAAATCGGTAGCAACTGAAAAGGGAGTTGTGTGAAAATCTCTAACAGGACATTCTTAAGTTTTGTTATGTTGCAGGCAATACTTCAGGATCAAGACCTGTGGGCTTCCTAGACAGGAACCAACCTGTGCCCAGTGCTGCATCTTATCCCCAGTGAGAGTTTTCCGAAATCTAATAAGAGGAGCCAGGGGAGGTCCTGCATAAAGCAATCTCCTGTTAATGAGCTAGTGTTGGTCCTGGGTGCTATGGCAGCAGTCACACACCGTGAGGTCAAATGCAAATGAAATCCTCTCTTCTGCGGCTTGGCCTAGTGCAGAGTCCCAGTTGATGTGACTTGTTAGAACCAACTCAAGGGGTTTTGAAAGTCCCTTCCATTCTTCCTCCTGTTCAGACATGCAGTGTTCATTCCAGAATTTCTACATAGAAGAGGCTTTGGGAATGTAATCTGGTTAGACATGGTGGCTGAGGGAGATATTTTAAAGATATTTTGTGGCAAATTTACAGTTTTTAATAGGTTGCTTTTCTGTTTGTCTTTTGAGGGAGTTGAAGATTAGTACCCCAACCTCTATGACTATGCACCTCATTCCATGACGTGTGCCCTCTAGTGGGGAGTTCCTGCTTCCACCTGTGGAACACCCTGAAAACTGAAACCCTCAACTGGCGAATTTCGCTGCCTAAATGCTAATCCTTGGTTCAGGAACAGAATTTATCATAACCTCTCTGAGCCTGAGTCTTCATCTGAAAAATGAGAATAAGGAAACCTATTAGAACAGCTAACTTGGGGCCGGTGCCGTGGCTCACTTGGTTAATCCTTCGCCTGTGGCACCCGCATCCCACATGAGCGCCAGGTTCTAGTCCCAGTTGCTCCTCTTCCAGTCCAGCTCTCTGCTGTGGCCCGGGAGTGCAGTGGAGGATGGCCCAAGTGCTTGGGCCCCTGCACCCGCATGGGAGACCAGGAGGAAGCACCTGGCTCCTGGCTTCAGATCGGCGCAGCGCCAGCCATAGCAGCCATTTGGGGAGTGAACCAATGGAAGGAAGACCTTTCTCTGTCTCTCTCTGTCTATAACTCTACCTGTCAAATAAAAATAAAAAATTTAAAAAATTAAAAGAACAGCTGTGGGGAGCAGCTCGGACTAGACTAAGTTACTGGAATTAAGACTTATTCTATGCATCTGCTCTCCCACAATAAGGCGCTGGGAGAGGAGAAAACAGCTTCTACCCAGCTGCCTCCAGTTCAGCCAATAAACAGCAGGACCTGCTCCTGATTGGAGGAGAGCAGCGTACTCGGCGTGTGGGCAGCCGAGTTGGGATTGGCAGAGGAGGACTATAAAGGAGGAGAGAGACGGCATGCACCAGGGAACATCTAAGGGGAACATCTAAGGGGAACACCTGTGCAGCCCCCCAGAGAACCGGCCGGCGGTGTGCCGCTCCCCTGCGGAAGTGGGGAATGTGGCCAGGGGGAACTGCCCTTCCACGGAGGTGGAAGGGACAGTAGCCAACCCGGGAAGAACCAGCAGCAAACCCGGGGAGGGCCGAGCAGACGAAAGAACAGCGCAGGGTCCTGTGTCGTTCCTCCACGAAGAGGGGGAGCGACAAACAGCCAACTTTACAGAGCCACTCCGTGAAAGAGCACTAAGAATAAAAGGCCTGTTCCCAATGCCTGCTGCGAGTTATTTTTACAACTCAAGTGATATGATGGAGTTGCCTCTTCTACAGGATAAATCCTCTCTTCCTTTACTGATCTTTTTTATTCAACTCTTTATAATAAAATTTTAATTCTGGGATATCATCCCTTTGGGGCCACAGGAGTTAAAATAGCATCTTGGGAAAGAGTCATAAAAATAGCTAACATTTCTTGAGCACTTAATATGTGCCAGGCTTTATGGCAGGTGTTCATGTTATATTTATTGTACCTCTGAGGCCAGTAATAGTGTTGTTCCTTTTACTGATTAGGAAATTAATGTTTATAGACATCGGATTATCTGCATGGAGTAAGTGGGGAGAAGGTTTCCAGATCTGATTTAAAAGCACGTACTTTTAACCTTTACCTTTGTGCTTCTGTGTGGATCTGTATGCCTGAGCCAGTTGAAGTCACAGTGCAAGGCATCCTCCTCCACACCTCAGATCCTCTGAAGTGCTTAGTTCAACGCTGAGCAGGAAACGGCGACCATGTGAACTATTTAGAAGGGTGGGACAGGAAGTAGGATATAGTCTTCAAAACCTAGTGCACTAAGTCTCTAGCTGTCGGAAGGAAGTGGCTGATCTGACCCAGCTCTATGTTGAGACCCATGGCCAGCAAGGAGACAAAACTGTAACTCAAACTTGACTAGAATATTTGGCATACCTTATGTATTACTTAAGATCAGAGATGTTCACACTAAGAACTCATTTCTCATCTTAGGTAGGGAGTGGGGTCAGGGACCCTGGATTCAGCCAAACAGGTCCTGGACCCCATAGTCTCATGGGCACCGTTTATGTAGACTCCAGTGTGAAGGCCTGTGCTGGAGCTGGGCAGGGCATGTGTGCACGTACTGCCTTGGCAGGTCTAGGAGAGGGAGGAGTTCTCAGTCCATGAATTAATGGTAAATTCATAATTGAAATAGGTCAACGTATTTACAACTGACACTGCAAGAAAATGACCTTCCCCGTAACTTTGGAGATTGGGAATGTGGAGGTGGAAGTAGAAACGGCCATGCTTGGATCCCCGAGGTGTCTGGTGGAACTAACTGCAATAAATGGAAACTCAAAGCAGAGAGTCAAGGAGACATGTTGACACGTACCCAGTCCATCAGAGATCACCTCCCCACCCCCTACCTTTTCCCAGCTTCACTTTCACAATAGCATTCATTCTCTGGAGGTGGAAGTTGGGAATGGTGGAGCCAGGAGGTGGTTTGCAAGGGAGGGCCAGTGATTTACTGCCATGAAATCTAGGGATTGGAGGAGAAGTTGAACTTCCAGAGATCTTGTTAGGATTGAAGAGATTTTTAAAAAATACCCACAGATCCAGGAATTAAAGTCTTGAAACATGGGTTCTTCTAACAGTTTCACTTTTTTCAAGGTTCTTTATCTCTTTGGGTCTTAGTTTTCTTCACTGAAAATCCAGGGAGCTAGTTCAACCATCTCTAAATCTTGTTCTGTATTAAAGCCTCTGAATTCAGATACAGTGAACACTTTTATTCACAAATTTGTTGCACTCTTTGTTATTGTAAAGCATGTTTCATAAATAAGTTAGTCTAATTGATTTTTTTAAAAAATCAATATAATTCCCTAATAGTAATATAAAAAGGAAGGGAAAGAGTTTAAGT